GTTGTTGATTCTCTAGTTATTTTGAACCAATGTGGTATTTAATTGGAGAAAAAGAGATTTGACATGATTATGATGTTGTTATTTTCTGACCAACGTTGTTAATAACAATATCATAATTTTAATGATTTATGCATTAATTCTACTTCTGCCCAACGGTGATGTAGATTTAGTGTATAAGAAAAGTTGATAATTTTATTGATTTATGCATTAATTCTATTTCTGTCCAACGGTGATGTAGAATTAGTGTGTAAGAACAATTATGAAAGTTAATGATTTATGCATTAATTCTATTTCTACCCAACGGTGATGTAGAATTAGTGTATAAGAATAGTTGTATGTTTTGATTTTGACCAATGTTGGAATCAAGGCACGCAAATGGTGTTATTTATATGTTAAGAAAAAGTTTGACCTGGTTTTCATCTTGACTGATGGGACTGGGTAGTCACCTCACCGTGTTGCACTGAGATTATGGCACCGGTGAGGGAGACAAAAGAGAATGATGTCACTTGGGCAACTAAAGAAAGGGATTTTGAATCCCAAAAGATGTCCTATGGCTTTGGAGCATAGGAAGTGGGTCACTGCAAACAAGAATTGTTTGGCTGTGATAAAGAACATGAATGAACCTGCAATTGTGGGCTCAATCCCAGAGTATGACACGGTCATCGAGTACCTCGATAGAATAAAGAGTCAGTTCACTGGCTCTTCAAAGACATATGCTACCCAGCTGATAAAGCAGCTGGTGACAGAGTGTTACTCTGATAAAAGAATGGCATAAGAGAGCTCACGATGCGTCGTCGAAATTATGGCACTGTCGTTTAGGCCATATTTTGAGGGGGAGAATAGAAATACAAGTTAAGAATGATATTCTTCCTCCATTAGAGCTCTCAGAATGCATAAAAGGAAAGTATGTAAAGAAAGATGGCAAACGAAGCACAGGAATTTTACAGATTATTCACACAGACATCTATAGTCAGCTTTCCTGTAAAGAGTGTGGATGGTTATGATTCGTTCATAACATCCACAGATGATTACTCCCATTATGGCTATATTTATCCAATCAAAAAAAGAAAAGATGTATTGGATAAATATAAGATATTAAGATTGAGATAGTCAGGTCTGACCGTGGGGGAGTACTACGGTCAGCATACCCTAAAAGAATGGCATAGTAGCCTAGTATTCTACACCGGGTGAATCTCAGCAGAATAGAGTAGCTAAAAGAATCAATCGTACCCTGATGGATATGGTGGGCAGTATGATAAGTTACTCCACCTTACAGTTGAGCCTGTGAATGGAGGCGTTAAAACCGCCATTCATATTCTCAATAGAGTATCAAGAAAGTCGGTGCCCAAAACACCGTATGAGTTGTGGACAGAAAGAGTACCATCACTAAACCACTTGCGTGTGTGGGGGAGAGTCCTGTTGAGGCTAAAGTATTTAACCCAAACATTAAGAAGCTAGATCCTAAAACAGTAAGTTGTCATTTCATTGGCTACCTAGAAAAGTCAAAAGGTTTTTATTTCTACTGTCCAGAGAGACATACAATGTTTGTGGAAATGAGACACGCTGTCTTCGTAGAGGATGAATTGATGAGGGGGAGCATGGTAGCTCGAGAAATTGACCTTGAAGTGAAGCGGGTGTATGCGCCCACTCCAATGATTCATGAGCCAATTTTCTCACTACCTGCTATCGCTACACCGACAGTGCTAGATACTGTGGTGCCAGCACCTGTTGTTATCCCACCTGTGGCAACAATGAATGACGATGAGGAACATGTTCTTCAGGATCCTAAAGAACATATTGCCACACACGAGGGGGAGCAACAACAGCCTCAAACAGAAGATGTGCCAAATGTGAAGGCCCCTATAAGATCTCAAAGAGTTAGAAAATCAATTATTCCTGCTGATTGTGAAGTGTACAACACTGAGCAATTTCAAATAGAAGATGATCACACCTCATTTGAAGAAGACATGAGAAGTGATCATTCATCAAAGTGGCTTGAGGCCATGGAAGATGAAATAAAATCGATGAATGCCAATAAAGTTTGGGATTGGGAAATAATTCCTAAAGGAGCCAAAACAGTAGGCTGTAAATAGGTCTACAAAACAAAACTTGACTCTTAAGGGAATATAGAGAAATATAAAGTACGATTTGTGGCAAAAGGCTATATGCAAAGAGAAGGGATTGATTACAATGAGATATTTTCTCCAGTCTCATGTAAAGTTTTCTTCAGAATCATAATGACATTAGTGGCACATTACGATTGAGAATTACATCAGATGGAGACTTGGAGAAAAATGTTTACATGGCACAACCGAAAGGTTTTGTCATGGAAGGAAAAGAACGAATGGAATGCCGCCTAAAGAAATCCATTTATAGATTAAAACAAGCTTCAAGACAGTGGTACTTGAAGTTTGATCAGACAATAAAGGATTTTGGGTTTAAAAGAGAATATAGAGGACAATTATGTCTATATAAAGCAAAGAGAATATAGAGGACAATTGTGTCAATACAAAGTTTAAGAATAGAAAGTTTATCTTCCTTGTCCTGTATGTAGATGATATCTTACTTGCTAGTAATGATGTCAGTCTACTACTGGAGACAAAGAAATTTGATATGAAAGATCTTGACGAAGCCTCGTTCGTTCTAGGGATCGAGATTCACCGAGATAGAAGAAAAAGAGTATAAGGACTGTCACAAAAGGCATACATGGAAAAGATCTTAAAGAAATTCAGTATGCACAAATGTAGTCCCTCACCTGCTCCTATAGTCAAGGGCGATAGATATGGGAATTTTCAATGCCCCAGGAACCAATATGAGCTCAATCAATAAAGTAAAAGTGGTTCCATATGCTTCAGCTGTCGGAAGCTTGCAACATGCTCAAGTATGTACGCGCCCTGACTTAGCATTTGATACCGGGTTTTACTTGGCAGATTCCAGAGCAATTCTGGAATAGAACACTGAAATTAGTAAAGAAAGTCTTGCATTATTTGTAAGGAACGAAAGGCCTCATGATGACATATAGAAGATCTGATTCATTCTATATAGTGGGATATTCATATTCTGGTTATGCGAGAGTAAATACATATCTAGACGTGGATTTTCTATCATCTCGCAAAGGGGGGTTATTTCATGGAAATGCTCAAACCAAACTGTCACTACATCGTCCACAATGTATGATGGTTTATAGCGTGTTATGAGACAACGAGCAGGTGAACTAACTAAAGTTCAAACCTGGTTTAAAGGTGGTTGACGATATCTATAGACCACTTAAGTTATACTGCGATTATAATCTGGCAGTACAGTATGCTCACAACATAAGTCAAGTGGTGCTGCCAAACACATTGACATAGAGTATTATGTTGTGAAAGATAAAGTCCGAGATCAAGTCATAAGTCTTTAGCATATAAGTACAGAAAGGATGCTCGCGGATCCGCTTATAAAAAGCTTACCACCCAACATGTTCAGAGAACATGGTGTTCAGAGAACATATAGCTAGCATGTGTTTAATGGAAAGCCTAAAATTCCTGGACAAAGGAAGGCCCAAAGATAAGTATATATTTCAAAACAGAGTAGTGTGTTGTAGCTGTTAAGTCTATCGGCAATAGATCGTGACGATGAGACATGATCTATGCGCTAATCTGTAATGGAATGAACAAAAGTAAATAATATAAAAGTGAAAGATGGAATGAGATCAAGGGGGAGAATGTTAGTTGATCTCCACCAATAGGCCCAACGGCCTATTGGGCCCTTGCCTCTGCTCCCTGATCGGGGGAGCCCAACCCTAACTGGTTGGCGGGCCCGTGTCGCACAGCACATATATATAGAGGAGTGGGGAACTGGCTCGAGCTCACGAGGTTGAACGGAGCCGCCACCCACCTACAGAGAAAACCCTAATCCGATCCTAAAGCGTGCTGCCAGCGACGAGATGTGCCCCGCCACCGCCATCGCTCCCTCGCAGGTTCTCACACCGACCGCCGCCTCGCCACCGAGCCGGAGCTGCCCTTCACACCGGCGTCTGGCTTTACGCCGCCGCCAGTGCCGCAACAAAGAAAGGCGAGAAGGGTCTTCCCGGATCTCACGGGTTACACACATAGTACTAATCATCGATCCTAACACAAGGTTGTCTCGGTGTGGTCACCAGGACGGAGTCCACTCAGGGTCGCCGCGACGCCGCGTCGTCGCTGGCCGGGCGTTAGAGGCGCACGCCGCCACGATCCCGTCGCAGCAGCGGGTCGTGGGAAAAGCTCTCGCTCGTGTCCGGCAGCTCCTCCCGAACCGCATGCGAGGCGTGGGAGAAGGAGAAGCCCACTACTGCCGCTGCGTCGGCCGTGAGCCTGTGATGCGACCAGCGTCTCAAGCCTATGACAAAGACCACGAGGGAGACGACCGCCGCGGACGCCCACAGCGAGGGAGACGGACGGCGGGTCGCGAAAGCCGTGGCAGAACGTGACGTGAGAACATGTTTATAGCAGGGTGTTTTTTGTAAAAAAAAATCCTAATCAGGGCCTCTGAATGGGTATGGACCTGCGGTGCACCGCTTAACAAGTCTAAGGAGTTAAATTTCGATTTTAAGAGTTTATGAGCCTAAGTGGCACAGCGCCCCGCCAGTGTATTTAACTCAAACACATGGTTATGCAGTAGACGTGCTCTTCTAATAACATGCTGGTGGCGGATCAGAACGGAAAGCATGCGTCAAAGGCAATCAGGCCGTCGTAGGCGCCGCCCCGCCGGTCGCTGCCCGTTCCCGCCCATTTCTTATGCTCGCCAACTTGGCGCCGGGCCTCGGGGGCACGAGATGACTCCGACCTCTCTTCCATGTGCCGGCCGGGCCTCGCAATAATTCTCGCCGCCGTTCCACTTCCACGGCTATATAAACGCACGTACGCTCCATATCCTCCTCCCTCCTACAGCTAATTACTGAGCTCACCAGCGATTCACTCTTCCTCACCCAGACAGCCGGCCAGCCACCACCACACCTCTAGCTAGTCTAGCTACCTCACATGGGCCGTCTCGAGGTGCTCACGGCGAGGGACGGCCTGCTGCCGCGCTCGGCGTGCCGGTACCAGCGGCTGCGCGGCGGCACATCGCCGGCGCCGGGCGGGAGAGTCAGGACGAGGGCGTGCAAGGCGGCGGGGAGGTGGGGGGCCACCACCACCACGACCAGCGGCGGCAAGCGGCTGCGGCTCCGCCTGCGCCTGGTGCGGCTGCTGCTCCTGCTTCCCGCGCGCCGGGTGGCCGCGCTGGTCGCGGAGCTCGTGCGGCGGCTGGCGGCGGCGGCGGAGGCCGCCGCGGACTGCCCTGCCATTGTCTTCTCCTCCCAGTGGGGGCTCCCCGTGCTGTCGCACTCCGCCAGCACCGCCAGCAGCAGGAGCTCCAGGCTGCGGGCCTTCTACCTCGACAGGAGCCTCTCCGCCGGCTCCTCCTCCGGCACCGGCGGCTCCCCGTGCTGATCTCATCGAGGCTCCACATCCCACAGGGCCACGGCCCGCCGGCCACATCGACGAATGCATGCGTCATGCGTGGCTGCATGATCGCAAGCCATGGTGCCAAGCCTCGTAGGCTGGCTCCTACGCATACCAACCACCACTTCCCCTCACGCCATGCCCATGTAGTAATCATGTATGGCTTCTGTTAGTACGCCATGCACATGGCTAGCTATCTTGCAAGACTGTACTGTACCCTCCATGTACTTTGCAAACGTTTTAACAATGCCGACATGCGCTGCGATCCGATCCGGTCTTGAATGAATGAACAAAAAGGAACAAGAGGCCGTGCTGTACATTTCTTTCTTAACTCCTTTGACGACGTCAGCATCATTTAGTAACTGTGACGATAAAACTCAGTACATGTTCTGACATTGTTGATACTTGATAGTTACATATGAAGCATCAGTAATTCAGTATGAACGAATTAACAAGCTACTCATTTGTCTTGTCGTTTCGGTAAATATAATTGAACACCGGCAGATAGCAAATTTAAGTTTTCAGTTGGGAGCCCGGTTGGCACTGGCACACAACATGCCTGCCTGATACTGATAGACAGAATCAAGGCCATCACGCAGTGTGCCTATCTGAGCTCTGTCATCTGAAGAAGCAACAATCACACAACATGCTACATGCGTGCCTGAACAGCAACTGCTTAACAGCATCAGGACATTACAGATTTACAGTAGCATGTATCAGCTACACACATTGTTAAGGTTCTTCTTCTACCAATCTAGCGTGTTGTATATACATGAAAGGAACTTTAAAGCAATCAGTCCTTATACGTGTAATAACTGTATTTGTTATTGGTACAGAACATGCGGTTGAGCATCCCTGAAGGCTGAAGGTGATCTCTGAACGAACTCAGTCGATCCAGCAGGGGCGCCGACAGGTTCAACGCAGATGACTTCGGAATGTTCCATGTTATCCAGGGCTCGTTTCGCATAATTGTAAATCCAATCCAAAGACAGCTGAGCCGCCCGTGGAGGTGAAGGCGACGATGGTCTTGCTGCATCGTCTGTGGACTGTGGCGGCGGACTGAAGCGGCGCCGCGTCGGATGCGTGGGCTGGCTTTGCGGGTTAATGCCGGCTAGCGGCGTGACCCACGACGCTTGCAACGGGTGCCTCTTCGTCTCCGATTGTTCGATCGGTTAAAACGCCCCTTCGCGTGTCAACTGTGAACCACTACTATATAATAATAGAGTCGCCGTGAAGAGCAGCAGTGGGTCAGGAGCGGCGGCGTACCCTCATCTTCCTCCTGTTCCCTTACCTCCACGGCTGAGTTTCACATTTGGGAAATTGGCCTCGGCTAAGTTTTGCCTCACACTCCACCGCTTGGCGCAAAATCTGAGGTACCCCTACTGTTTTACCCCCTCTGAAGTAGAAGGTCCTTGGATTTGTTGCTTGCAGAACCATTGCCATGTAGTTGTTTTCTTGATTCATTAAAGCCCTCGCTCGTTATGTCTCTGAAAGTTTGTATCGTCCCATCTGATCATATGCTAATATACACCTGATCCTATGTATGTTGTAGAGATTTCTAGCCACATGCTGATCAAGATGGAAAATGTGCCTTAGTTCATTCAAACATCACCTGCTGGCACAATATTTTGCCTCTGCTAATCCCTAATTCTAGCCTTATATAAATTAGGCATATCCGTTGCACATCTTAAATAATTTAAATAAATTTCAGTTGCTAATTTCTGTGCATCAATAAGCAGTCCTAATTTCATCAGCACAACCTGTTGACATACTGTTATGCCCTCACTATTTATATTTATATTGCATGAGATGCATACAGTAGCTACCTTCAGAAATTATTGTCTGATGCATAGCAGTAGTCACCATTCGTTATTGCCATAGTAATCAGTCATAACTATTTTTTGCTAGTATTCTTGAATCTGACATGGATACTGGATGGTATTTTCAGTGCTAATTTCTGTGCATAAAGAACATGTCCTGATTTCAGCACAAACTCATGAACTTGTGCATCAGTATATGTTGCGAAGATTGAGAATGGAAGTGAAACCATTATACATGTTGTATATGAAATGATTGATTTAGTTACTGACTTTCTTTGCTGTAATATTAAATGAATACATTTCATGTGTTTTTTCATCTTCTCTGTGTTAGGTTGATATCCTCCCGACTCGGTCCAACAGCCGAGTCGGGCCCTTGATCCGCTCCGTGATCGGGGGCGCCCAACCAAGCCATGGTTGGTGGGCCCCGTCGCATAGCGCCATATAAAAGGAGGTGCGGAGCTCAGGGCACCGTGGCGAAACCGCTCGACGGCGGCGCGCTCTCCCTTGCGGGAACGCGCACACTAGCAAAGGGCCCCACAACGGCGCCGGCACTCCCCTCCGGTCGCCACGGGCTGCCGTCACTGCTCGCTCGCTCGGGTCGCGGCGTTGTGAGAGAAAGGAGAGGGAGAAAAGTGAACTTGGGTTTTGGGAGAGGAGCAGCCGGCCGGGGTTTTTTTTGTTCCGCCGATCTACGCGCCTGACCGTTGGATTGCGATCGACGGTCGGCAGAGCACGGGCCAGTTTTGGCCTAGGCGGGAAGGTAGATTCCCGGCCCAGGCCTAGGTTGCGGCCTGGGCGCGGGGAACGCGGCGCGCGCGGCTCGGCCATGGGCCGCAGGAGGGCGCAGCGCGCCGATGACCCTTGGACCGATTTCACTCCTTAGCCGACACCCGACAGTTTAAGTTTTTCCATTTTCTATTTTTCAGTAGCATTTTGTCAATATGTTTTATCTAGTTTTTTTATATCTATAAATTTGCACCAACGTGTTTAATTTTTAGAGAGTAAATAAGTGCTCAAAAATACTTCTGGAAAATAGACTATTTTACATGTTTCCGCTGCTACATTAAAGTTTCATCCTCTAATTAAATTGGGACCACGGAAAATTTTAATTGGAGGAGTAGTCCGATTTGTTTAAGTTAAATTATGATATTATTATATTTCTGACCAACGTTGATGATAACAATATTATAAGTTTATTAATGAGTTTTACCATGCATTAATTTTATTTCTGTCCAACGGTAAAATAGAATTAATGTAGAAGAATGTTGTATTTATGATATTGCTATTTTCTGACCAAAGTTAATAACAGCAATATTATAATTTTATTTATGAGTTTTATGCATTAGTTTTATTTCTACCCAACGGTGATGTAGAGTTAATGTAGAAGAATGTTGTATGTTTTAACTTTGATCAACATTAAATTAAGGCATGCAATTATTTATGTCAAATGTTTCTCACTTTCTCTGACGTTGTTTTTAGGATACAACCCAATGATGTTTATCTCGTCAATTCCTCCTCTCAATGGAAACAACTATAATGTATGGCGAGAGAAGCTTGAGATAGCACTTGCGCTGTCCGACAATAACCTAGCACTTACCTCTCCTTGCCCATTGAACTAGTGGACCCGGCGAGGGAAGCAAATGAGATTGATGCAGCTTTCGCTACTCGGCAGCGTGACCATGCATCAGTGAGAATGACGTACGATCTTGATCGTGCGAAGTGAGATAGTTCAAAGTGCAAGTGTTTGATGGTGATTAAGGGCTCCATTGAGGAACCAAAAAGGGGTTCGATCCCAGAATATATCACCGCCACTGAGTATCTCAAGAAGATGAAGAGTCAGTTTACTGGCTCTTCAAAGGCTTATGCAAGCACTCTTATTAAGAAGTTAGTCAATGAGAAATACTCTAGTGGAGGGATTAGAGAACACATATTGAAGATGAGCAACACGACATCCAAGCTCAAGCCAATGGACTTGGGGCTCAAGGATGAGTTCCTAATTTATTTGGTTTTTGCATCTTTGCCCAAAGAGTATGAGACTTTTGTTGTTAATTACAACTTACATCCAGATAAGTGTGACATTGAGAAGCTCATTGCCATGTGTGTGCAAGAAGAGGAGAGGCTTAAGAGCTCACATGTTGACTCCATCAATCATGTGAAAGAACATAAAAAGAAGAACTTTAACAACAAGAATGCTAAACCACAAGGGAAATCTTAGTGGGACAATAGCTCCTCTAAACAACAAGAAAAGGCCCCATAGAAAGATCACCACCAGAAATTCAACTATGTTCAAGTAGACAAGGACACCTGCAGATGGTGCCACAAGACTAGACACCGCCAGAAAGATTGTTCAGAGTTCTTGAAGCACCTGATAAGAAAAGGTGAGGACATTATTACATTTATAGATGAATCATTATATTTAAGTTGTGCAAAATCTACTTGGTGGATTGATTCAGGTGTAACTATTCATGTTGTAAATTTATTACAGGAATTTCATACGAGGAGGACCCTGCAAAAGAGGAGAAAGACACATTAAGGTAGCAAATGGAGTCAAAGCTAAAGTTGAAGCCATTGGAGATCTCCCATTAGAATTAAATGATGGCTTTGTACTTAAACTTTCAGATGTCCTTTATGTACCCTCTTTGCATAGAAACTTAATGAGTGTCTCACGTTTAGACGATAATGGATATGATTGTCATTTTGGTAATGGCCAATGTAAGATTGTGTTTAATAATAAGTGTGTTGGTCTTGCCTTCCGATAAGATAAGCTTTATTTGTTATCACTTTGTGAGAATGTGAATGTTGTGAGCACTAATAATAAAAATGCCTCCTCATCTATGAATGTAAGTAACAAGCAAAAGAGAATTCATGATGTATCTTCGAGGCACTGTTGTTTAGGCTATTTTTCGAGAAGGAGAATAGAATGATTGATTAAGAAATTAATTCTTCCGCCATTAGAATTTTCAGATTTAGAACAATGTATTGATTGCATTAAAGGAAAGTATGTTAAGAAAATAAAGAAAGACGCCAAACGAAGCGCATGAATTTTGGAAATAATTCACACAGATATCTATGGTCCGTTTCCTATAAAAAGTGTGGATGGTTATGATTCATTTATAACATTCACAGATGATTATTCTCGTTATGGCTATATTTATCCAATTAAGAAAAGATCAGAAGCATTGGATACATTTAAGATATTTAAGGCTAAAGTAGAAAATCAGCACAATTTAAAGATTAAGATAGTAAGATCCAACCGTGGGGGGAGTACTACGGTAGACATATCCCATATGGCTAAGTTTCTGGACCTTTTGCAAAGTTCTTACAGGAAAATGGCATAGTTGCCCAGTACTCTACACCGGGTGAGCCTCAACAGAATGGAGTAGCTGAAAGACGTAATCGTACCTTAATAGATATGGTGAGAAATATGATAAGTTACTCCACTTTACCGATAAGTTTGTGGATGGAGACGTTAAAAATCGCCATTCATATTCTCAATCGAGTACCAAGCAAGTCGGTGCCCAAAACACCATATGAGTTGTGGACAGGAAGGGAACCCTCACTTAACCACTTACGTGTGTGGGGTTGTCCATCTAAGGCTAAAGTATTTAACCCAAACATTGGGAAGGTAGACTCCAAGACAGTTAGTTGCCATTTCATTGGCTATCCAGATAAGTCAAAAGGTTATCGTTTCTACTGTCCTGACAGACATACGAAGTGTGTAGAAACAAGACACGTTGTCGTACATGAGGAAGAGCAACAACAACCCCATACGAAACAAGTGCCAATCAATGAGGCCCCCAGAAGGTCTCAAATAGTAAGAAAACTAGCCATTCCTAATGACTATGAAGTCTATGAATATGAAGAATTTCAAATGTAGGGTGATCCCACCTTATTTGAAGAAGCCATGAGAAGCTCTCACTCATCGAAGTGGCTTGAAACTATGCAAGATGGAATGAGATCAATGAGTACCATCTATGTTTTGGACTTAGAAAAAATTCCTAAAGGAGCCACGACAGTAGGTTGTAAATGGGTCTACAAAACTAAATATGACTCTAAAGGGAATGTGGAAAGATTTAAATCGTGACTTGTGGCGAAAGGTTTCACGCAAAGAGAAGGAATAGATTACAATGAGATATTTTCTCTAGTCTCATGTAAGGATTCTTTTAGAATCATAATGACGTTAGTGGCGTATTACGATTTAGAATTACATCAGATGGATGTAAAGACGACTTTTCTTAACGGAGATTTAGATGAGAATGTCTACATGGCACAACCAAAAGGTTTTGTCGTGAAAGAAAAAGATCGTATGGAATGCCGCCTGAAGAAATCCATTTACGGATTAAAACAAGCCTCTAGGCAGTGGTATTTAAAGTTTGATGGAACAATAAGAAAATTTGGGTTTAAAGAGAATATAGAGGACAATTGTATTTATACAAAGTTCAAGAATAAAAAATTCATTTTCCTAATCCTATATGTGGATGACATCTTACTTGCTAGTAGTGATGTTAATCTACTACTGGAGACGAAGAAGTTCTTGTCCTCAAATTTTGATATGAAAGATCTCAGTGAAGCCTCGTTTGTTCTAGGAATAGAGATTCACCGAGATAGAAGAAATGAGGGTTTTAGAATTATCATAAAAGGCATACTTAGAAAAGGTTCTAAAGAAATACAGTATGCATGCGTGTAAAGCCTTCACATGCTCCTATAGTCAAGGACGATAGTTTTGGAGAATTCTAATGTCCTAGGAACCAATATGAGATCGATCGAATGAAAGCGGTTCCATATGCTTCAGCTGTAGAAAACTTGCAGTATGTACACGTTCTGACTTAGCTTTTATTACCGGATATTTAACAAATATCAGAGTAATCCAGGAATAGAACACCGAAGAATGGTAAAGAAAGCTTTGCGTTATTTGTAAGGCATAAAAAGTCTCATGCTAACGTACAGAAGATCTGATTCCCTATATATAGAAGGGTATTCAGATTCAGAATTTACGGGAGATGTAGAAGATAGAAAATCCCCATCAAGTTATGTATTTATTCTCGCAAGGGGAGCTATATCGTAGAAAAGCTCCAAGCAAATCGTCACTGCGCCGTCCACGATGTATGCCGAGTTTGTAGCATGTTACAAGGCCACAGAGCAAGTGAGTTGGCTAAAGAAATTTATACCCGGGTTGAAAGTGGTCGATGACATTCATAGGTCACTCAAGTTGTACTACGATAATGAGCCAACAGTATGTTATGCTCACAACAATAGGTCAAGTGATATTACCAAACACATTGACATAAAGTTTTATGTTGTGAAAGACAAAGTCTGGGATCATTCAATTAGTCTCGAGCATATAAGTACAAAGAAAATACTTGCGGATCCGCTCACAAAAAACTTACCGCCCAATGTGTTCAAAGAACACTTAGCCGATATGGATTTATGGGAAAGCCTATGATCCCAGGACAATAAGGGTCTAGTTGAGAATCTGTTTTAAAATAAGAGGTGTATTGTAGCTATTAATCCAATGATACTAACTGTTGTGACGAGGCACACTCTATGCACTAATCTGTGATGGAATGGAAAAAGATAAAGTATTTTAAGTTTAAGTTGAAAATTGAGATCAATGAGGAGAATGTTAGGTTGATCTCCTCCCGACTCGGTCCAACGACCGAGTCGGGACTTTGATCCACACCCTGATCAGGGGCGCTCAACCGAGCCATGGTTGGTGGGCCCCCATCGCACAACGCCATATAAAAGGAGGTGGGGGACTGGAGCACTCGGTACGAGGTTCACTGCGCTGCCAGCAACCCCATCCACAACCCTAACCGATCTAGGGAGACGCTGTCAGCGACGGGAAGCCCCACTGCCTTGCCACCGCCGGGACGCCACCGCCCTGCACTGCGCTCAACCCTCTTCACCAACCTCACCACCGACACCGTCGCCATAGCGAGCTCCTACGCCAAGTCCACCTATGGTCAGCCACTTCAATCGTCTCTCTCTAGTTCATGGTCTAGGTCATCTTATTCCGAATAGAAATGTTATCACCCAATAGATCTTCCTTCTAGTGATCCTAAGAATTTGACACTCCGTATTATGGTGTCCAATGTAAACAGGTTATGTGTGTTCATTTGGGCGTGTCAGTGAGAGTGTGGGTGTTTTTCACATGTGGTGCGAAATTCAAAAGGTCCAAACCGACTCTGTTTTCTTGGAAACATTTGATTGGCTCTCCCTCATGAATGTGAATTTGTGATGTGACAGACACCTCTTGATCTCCCTCTGCCTTGCCAGTGAAGAAACACAGTTGTGACCGTGACTACTTGACAGTAAGCGATTCATGCAGTAGGCCCCCGAGTTTATACTTGGCCATTTGGCAGTGGCACTGTAGGCTGGTCCAGGCACGGCACTAAGAAACACGGCCCAGATCTGGCCTGGCTCGGCTCCCATCGTGCACGTGCTTGGCACGGCCCGATTATAGTGCCGTGCCTGAGCCGCCATGTCGGCCCGTGGTGCCGGCCCAGACATGGCACGGACATTGGGTAGGCACGATGCGGCCCGATATTTTCTAACCGTTGGATTACTTGAGAAGATATTCTAGCCATCAGATGAGAGCATATGGATCTCCAAACTCTAGCTCCTCATTTCCAAACACCTCCCATAGCCTCATCCCCAGCCGTCACTGCTCCCGTCTTCCCAGTTGCTTGACTACTCCCACGACGTGCGGCGCGGCGACCTTCGTGCGGCGGCGCGACGACCTCGGCGCACCGGCGTGGATGTGCTGGAGCAGCCTCGAGGTGCGCTCACATGGCCAGGGGCGCGTCCTCGCGGCGGTGGCGCTCGGCCGGGGCGCGTCCCCATGGCGGCTGCGGCGCGGGCAGGGGCGAGCTCGCGCGGCGGCGACGCGTCTGCGACGGTGGTGCGTCCGCGCGCAGATGCGGCTGTGGCTCGACGGCGTCAAGCTATGGCAACGGGCCGGCACGGCCTCCGCGGGCCGTCGTGCCTATCAGCACGGCACGACACGGCACGGCTGAGTCCTCGTAGTGCCGCGCCTGGGCCGGGATGCCGGCACGGCGGCACTACGCGGCACGGCACGACAGCACCGCCGTGCCCCGCCGTGCCGTGCCTGAGCAGCCCGTTTGTCCATGTATACCCGAGTTAGCAAGAACTTATTACTTGCGCCGCACGATTATCTTCCATTCTCGATTTGGAGAATCTCGTCTAGTTCTTGACTTCTTGTCCATTCTTTGAATTTTGCGACAACGACTCCGTTTAGGGTGTGAAATAACTTGCTTTTTAAGAAACACGCCTGAAATAATGGACATCAAGAGATGCCTCTTGGTGATGCGATTGGGTTCTTTTAATCCAGAGTAATACTATGAGCATAACAATCTGTATCGAATGAACAGTTTTTGATTCTCTGTTCCTGGCAGGGACTACGACGAGTGCCCCACTGATTTTAAGCTGCTAAGATATAAAGATCACTTATTGCCGGCGCCAAGATCAATTAGCAGTAGAATCATGTCATGAAACGTGTGGTCCGTGCTGGTGATTTTGATCTGCTTCTTGGTTTGCCCTATGAGGATCCGTGGATTCTCATGGAACATCTTCTCCTCCTCGACTGCACCCACGGGAGGTGAACGCGCTCCGATGATGGAGCTGGACGGCGCGGTGGCCGACTTCGCCATGGATGGAGCCAAAGCCAATGACCCCAGAGGGCTCAAGTTGCTGGAGAACGCGCGGATTGAGCCCGCCGGACCGAGGAACTGTTGGCAGGAGGCATACCGGAAGTTGTTTGCCAGCTGCGGCGATATCATGGCCGACAAGGAGAGGCAATCGCGCCTGGCGTGGCACCTTAGCAGCTGCTTCCAGGAGGACTCAGGGCGGCCGCCCTTCCCGTCCTGCGCTGAGGGCTCCAAGATGGTGCACTGTCGCAAGCGACTCAGTGAATCTGAAGGCAAGGTCTTCCTCGAGTTCTTCTTGGAGACCGACACCCTGTGCCACCAATTGCAGTAAGTTTAATTTCCTCTTCTGACATTTATTTGCAGATGGTATGTTTTCTGTACTAAACTTCGTTTGTATGGATTTATTTGTTGAGGGCTGAAGCTTTCAAGCACAACAGTGAGAGACTCGTCAATGACCTCACAAGGACATCCAAGTCTGCTAAGAAGAAGCTCGAGGTGATCGAGGAGAGGTCAGAACAGATCATCAAAGAATCTAGTAAAGTTCAGGACACACTGTCATCGATTGACATGCAAGCCGACAACCTGGCAGAGACATCAAAGCACGTCGGGGAGCAGATCAACGAAGTGCTGGTTCACTCCAAGTCCATCTTTGAGCAGTCCAAGGAGATCGCTACCACTCAGGCAGAACTGAGTAAAGGACAAACAGAGATAAGGGAGAAGATTGAGGCCGGTATGACGCACGTTGAGGAATCATATGAAAGACTAGGAAATGGGATGGATAAGCTAAAAGAAGAGACTGGATATATGCAAAAGGAAATTAAAAGTGTTGGTGAGTCAATGTCTTCAAAGATGCAGGATTTGCAGAGCACCGCTGATAACATTGGGACTGTTGTTGGCAAGTCATTGGAGAATCAGATGCAGCTACTACATGGACAAACCCAAGCAATGGATGGACTGAATAAGCTTCACAGCTTCCAAGCACAAGCTCTTTAAGAAAGCAGGGTTTTTTTTCAAACCGTAGGTATCCCCCATTTCCATTAGGATTAACGAAAACAGACATGCCAGACATAGCAGACTTATGACCTCTAACTAGCCTTAACATTTCCAACCTGGAGAACGATATAAACCAAAAGAAGCCACAGCGACAACCAGACCAACAGTCCAGACTCAACACGGAGCCAACATACAGTACAGAGACAAACAAGTCACAATCGCCAGAAGCAGCTTTCGAAGATCCCCTTATCCTTTCCTCCTCATTCCTGAGCATTGTCATCCGTCTTCGAGGGTCAGTCTCCCATCGTTATGCACCTTCTCACCAAGTAGCTTGGAGGCGATCTGCAGCATGGTTTTTACCCCGGCTTCCAGCGCTTCCTTGTCCATCTCCAGAAACAAACCTGCCCAATAACCCATGAGCGCACAAGCATAACATATAATTGATGCAGGATTCCTGATCATTATCCCATCAAAACAAGCTTTATTCCGTGTTTTCCGGATAGCCCAGCAAATTGCTCCAATACCAACAGTATGAAACTGTTTGCCGAAGGGTAGCCACTTCTCGCACCAAAGCCAGCACTGCCCTAAAGACTTAGGCACATCGTTGGCCCCGATGCACTTGGCAACAATCGCCCAAACAGCCTTGGGCCTTGCCTGTGCTACACTGAAAAAAGAGATGAGAGACAGACTCTCTTGTTACAGAAATAGCATGTTGGATTACCAACCCATTTCCTTCTCAGCAAATTGTCCTTGGTCAGGACTGCATTGTTCATCAGTAACCAAAGAAAGATATTGATTAAGTGAACGATTGCAGGGAAACAATTCAGAAACTTGCACAGTTTGGCCAGCGTAAGCAGGAAGAGCTCCTGTCCCGACAAGAACAGATCCGGCAAGCTCATGAGCATCTCATCCAAAATTCTCACTCCATACTGGAAGCACAGGTTCTTATATCTCATTTTGGAAATATGACTAGCTTTACATGTTCGCTTATATATATTTATTGATTTTTTTCATATACACAGGAAGAGTTTAGAGCAAAGCAGGCTAATATTTTTGCTACTCTGGACAAGCTGTACATTCTGCATAATGCTATTCTAGCTGAGTCTCGCTTCATCAAGGCCTTCTTCTTCTATTGTTGCATTGTGTTCCTCATCTACATGCTCACCAGTGCAAAGCAAACGTTCAGCATCAGGGGCCAGCTCTACTTCGGTATGATTTCACTACTGAAATCGAGAACGCGTTGGATAAACTTAATCTGAATGCCCGGTTGCCAACAGTTCTTCGCAAAAAAAAAAAAAAAAAAAAGAATGCCGGGTTGCCCACTTAACGTAAATGAAAATTTGAATGCCCATTTCGCTAACATTTTTTGATGAACATTTTGCCCTGGCAGGTCTGTGCATTACGCTTTTATTGGAGATAGGGTTGATCAAGCTCGGCGCCGACGACTTTGACAAGCAGTTCTGGATCATGTCCAGGTGTTCTTGGTCAGAGTGGTGTTCCTCGGCACTGCCACTGTTCAGATCTTGCACTCCATATTCACCTACAGGTACGTACGTGATAAACAAAGGCCTCCACTGAACTATTACACAATATGCCACATCTACACACTCATTGGTTGGCCTTCGCTGCAATTTTAACTTATGTCATCCTTCAGGGACAACGAATTGTTGAACCACGGGCTGCTCCAGACGCTGGTCGAGAAGGTCCGGTTGCTGGAGGAAAACGCCGGCAGGAGGGCGCTGGAGGAAAATGCCTCAGAGTCGGAGGAGAGCCTGAGGGACTACCCGTGGGTCTTCGACGAGCTGGCAGACGAGGTGGACAGCAAGATGGACCCAACGTACATCCCTGCCGCCGGAGCGATCGCCTCCTACTCGAAGGCGCAACGAAATCGTCTTGGCGGAGGAGATCGGCGAGAACTCCATCACGATTCACGAAGTCCGTCTCCAGGAGGTACAATCTGCGGCCAAGGAAATAGGCAGTGGGGGCCTGGTGTTTTTAGTTCTGGAGAAGGAAGATGCAGATAGTACGTACCAACCACCAGTTCCCCCTCACGCCATGCCCATGCAGTAATCATGTATGGCTTCTGTTAATGCGCCATGCACATGGCTAGCTATCTTGCAACTGTAACCTCCAAATACTTTGCAAACGTTTAACAATGCCAACATGCTCGATCCGGTCTTGAATGAAAAGGAACAAGAGGCCGCGCTGTACATTTCGTTCTTCTTAACTCCTTTGACGTGAGCACCAATTAGTAACTGTGATGATTAAACTCAATGCATCGGCGTACATGTTCTGACATTGTTTATGGTTATACGCAGCATCAGCAATTCAGTATGAACGAATTTACAAGCTACTCCTTTCTCTTGTCGTTTCGGTAAACAAATGCGTCAGATAGCAAATTTAAGTTCAGTTAGGAGACCGCCAGTTGGCACACAACATGCCTGCCTTATACTGATACTGATGGACAGAATCAGCTAAGGTCTAAAGGCCATCATGCAATATAATATGCATGTCTGAACTCTGATCTCTGAAGAAGCAACAATCACACAACATGCGCGCCCGAACAGCAACAGCTTAACAGCATCTGGAGTCAGGACAGTACAGATTTACAGTATACTAGTACGTAGCAGTTACACACATCGTTAAGCTTTTTCTTCTACCAATCTAGCGTGTTGTATGTACATGAATATGTACATTAATGGAACTTTAAAGCAATCAGTCCTTAGACGTGTACTGTATTTGTTACTATACTACATCGATTGGTACAGAACGTGCAGTTGAACATCCCTGAAGCTGATCTCTGAACTCAGTCGATCCAGCAGGGGCGTCGACAGGTTCAGTGCAGATGGCTTCGGAACGTTCCATGTTATCCAAAGCTCGTCTCGTATATACTGTAAATCCAATCGCAAAGACGATGGCAACAATTACAGATACAACGTTGTACACTATCTCAACTGTTGTCATTCGGTGCTTGCGATAGTTCAGCTCAGCCAATGTGCGTATCAGCCGCCCACTGCACAAAAGCAACGCAAAGATATGATTCTGTCGATTCTGATTGAACTGCAGTCTATGCCCAACTACTGAACTAGACTAGTATCCTGATAGCAATAAAATTATTAGAGTAATTACTAAGATAGCTATGAATTGTTGGTCTGAATCTAACCTGTAGATGTTGATGAACACATCAGGCACCATTCCAACACCCGAACCACATATGTAAGGGATGAACTTCATCTCCGTCACAGTTACAGCATAGTTGAACAATGCATATGGGAATGGTGAGATTCTTAGCAATGCAGCCACCCGGAATTGCTGGAACCAACTCCCTTTACCTGCCAGTTTAATCAGAGCAATCTGCCGTGGCCATTTCTTTTCCAACCAGAGCTGCATGTCAGCAAACAGATGAGAGCAGCAGGGCAGCAAAACTACGACCCAGCACATCAAAACCAAAACACTGAGAAAATATACCGAATAGTAGCTCATGATCAAATGGAGCTTAGAAACATTACATTTAGGCGGTCACGAAACAATAGGCCGATCCAATAAGGTATAGACATGCCGACGGTGACCCCAGCCATGATGATCAAGAAGCCGAAACCGTAGCCGAAAACTATTCCTGTTAACCACATTGGTGGACCAGAAGGCAGCAACACCACCGGGAACAGCGCTAGAGAAGCAATTATCACCACCGCTAACACGGGGCGGCCAAAAGATTTTGCTTCCCATTGAATAATTGGCATGATCACCTGCAATATCAGGCGTACATAAAATGGAACACAAAGCATTAACATGACAAAGGCTGTGGAAAACTTAAATATCATCCGCTGCACAAATTTGGGGATTCTTGAGAAAAAAACTTAATAAGTAGAGTAACAGCATGACTATTGTGATTTGATAACCCATCATCTGAATGATAAAATCATATGTGAAGCTTGTCTGCTGGACTGTGAGATTAGACACGCACAATTCCTTCAGACTGATCGAGAGAGAAGACCAAAGTCCTCGGCCAATCCGGTGGAATCGATACCAATACCTGCCCTGATAACACGGTCCTAATAGGAGATCAGACCGGTCAGATGAGAAGCATCATCACCTTCTCGGAGAGAAACGGGAGGCCCCACTTGAAGAACGCGTAGCCGAGCAGAACGAGGAGCAGCAATCCGACCACGAGCCTCGCCCACGGGACGGACGACATCGACCTCGACCGCGCCCACGGCCTCGTCTCAGGCGCCTGTATAGGCACGGCCACAGGCACGCCGGGCGCGCCCACCGGCGGCATCGTCGTTACGACCAGACGCGCGCACTCATCTCCCCCCGCGGTCCGCGAGGGCAACCCGCCACCGTCTCTCCGGGTCCCGGCGACGCTCGGCGCCTCCGGACGTCCTCCAGGTCCAGGCACGGCCGGCGAACCTGTCGTCGCCCTCGAGCTGCTGAACCAATAGCCAGACGCACGCATGGCGCGCCAATCAGACCACCACCACCACTACGCCACGCCACGCGCGCGCGGGACGGGACCGAATGAGAATGAAGAGCAGAGGAAAAGGAAGGGAATGGAATGGAATAGCGGAGACCCGCACGCGTACTGACGTGCTTGCCTGCTCATCGCGCTCGCCCGCCAGGGAGGCCGCCGCGGTTGCTTCGGCGCCGGGAGCAGCTGGTGGGGCGGGGCCGGCTCCCGTCATGGCGAGGTAAAGGGAGAGGGAAGGAAGAGATCAAGTCGGAGTCGAACAATCTCGGCCTCGGCCTCGGCGTCCTCTGCCAACCGCGAGGATTGCGCCCGGTGGAAGGGAAGAGGCGGGTGGGCCTAGTGGGCCGAAAAGAACCAAAAGCAGGCCGGGCTGGCTGTTGGCCTAACAAAGGCCCGTCTTAACGATCAGCACAGCCCACTAGTTACTTGGGCCTCGAGGCCTTCGAGAGTACCTTTGCCACTTGCGTCTCCCTCTCATCTCAGCCCTTTTTTAGTTGAGGGGAAAGTTGGAAATTGGCTACTGTAGCACTTTTTTTTTTATTTAGTAATTAGTATTTAATTATAGACTAATTAGGCTCAAAACGTTCGTCTCGCAATTTTCCACCAAATTGTATAATTAATTTTTTTTATCTACATTTAATACTCCATACATGTATCGTAAGATTCGATGTGATAAATACTGATAGCATTTTTTTGGAACTTTTTTTCAACTAAACACGGGCTCACCCAGGCCGCGTTTAGTTAGCTGCCGGATTCGGCGCAGCCGGTTTTCCGGACACTCCACTACACTGTAGTATTTTATTTTTATTTGGTAATAATTGTCTAATCGTTGACTAATTATATTCAAAACGTTCGTCTCGTAAAGTACCACCAAACTGTGTAATTAGTTTTTGATTTTGTCAACATTTAGTATTTCATACATATACCATAAATTTAATATGACGGGAATCTTCTTTTTACATAGTGTTAAATTTTGAAATTTGGGGCTACTAAACATGGCCCCAGTCACACACGCACGCAGAACGCTATCCCGAAAAGGAAAATGGACCTGGACGGACCAACGATGTGACTTGCTGTGACCGATCGGCTCAGCGGGGAGCAGAAGGCAGGCAGGAGCAGGACGGGGCGGTGCCAGTGGCAGGCAAGCCGACGCGTGGGCTATTGCATGTAGCAGCAGGCTGCAGGCAGCGGGAGGGAGCCGGCAGGCACGCAGGTGGCCACTGTGGCTTGTCGCCTCCTCCTCCGCGCTGCCGCTAGCCTCCTAGCGAGCCTAGCTAGCTTGCTCGAGTGGTGCAAAGCTGCTGCAGTGCGTCGCTGTGCTGCCTGCCTGCGCAGCGGGCAGCGGCCATGTGCATACGGCAGCAGCTCCCACTGGTCACTGCTAGGAGGACTGATGGAAGATCAGAAATGGCTGGTGGACATGATGGTTCATCTCTCGATTCATTGCATTGCCTGCCCTCGCTGCTGCCGTGAAGAAACAGTGAGACTGGAATTTCACTTCACCCTTTTTCCTTTTTCTTTTTGCGGTCCAATTCCGGTGAAAGAAACCAGCCAAGGCGCGACACTGTGAGTAAAAGGCGGAGCCACGCTGAATGGCTGAGGGAGTGAAAAGTGGCAACAAGGGCTGAAATCCTTTTGTGCTGATAATGTTACTGAGTCTAGAGCATTTCATATTTTTCACAGCGAAGAATAACCTGCAGCTTTGCTACTTAATACTGCTCTGCAACAGCATTTGTTGATATCACTGAGTTTAGAGCATTTCTTACTGCATTTGAACAAGCAATGCACTACACTCAAATAAAGACATGGAAAAAAAAGGAAAAGAGGAAAGATCGAAAAAAGGAAAACGGGATCGGAAGCAAAGAATTGAACAAGGGTATGGTCGTATGGATGGACCACATCTCCATCTGATACTCTGATGTGCTGTCGTAAAAGCTCAAGAACACAGAGCTAGGTAATCTAGGTGCTTTGCTTCCTCCTGCAATTGCAACCACAGTGCAAGTGTGCAACCCATTTGCCAAACTGGCAAACTCAACCCAACCAAACTATCCCAGCACATCACACGCCACATGACATGCCTGAGCAAGCCTCTCCGCTGCAGCTGCCGACGCCAGCCATGCACTGATGCACTCCACGCTCTCTCCATAACGCGCTAGCTATCCATCATTCCCACGGCAGCGGCGGCTGGCGGGTGGCTGCTGTAACTTTGCCGGCTCGGGCTGGCTTCTCCTCGCTGTACACCATACAGTAGGCTACAGGCAGATGGTGCCTGCGACCATGCATCGGCCATGTGGCCTGGGCTCTGGGACGAGGCCATCTGCACCGGGTGCCGTAGGCTATCTTCAATAAAAACGTCTAAAATATAAGATTTATTTGTTCTTTGGGATAACGCTACAGACAAAGCGTTTAATATATATTTGGCATCTTCTCCGATAACAAGACCCTAAAAAAATCATTTCTACAAATAAGTTTCTAGAAAAGATGATATCCATATTTAGATTATGCCTCTCAGATAATTCAAAATAGATCTCTCGTATAAGTGTCATGCTGTACTTT